AGAGTTATTCAGTAGCCTGATGACGAAAGCACATTCCTGTTTGGGGCCTAACTCCAACTACATAAAGGGAAGTCTCTGGGATGTTGTGGTTTCCGCGGTCTGTCTGGTCTTTATTGTTACACCACATTGCTACCAAATGGTGCTGATGCTAATTGTCGTTGTTTTGATCAAGGGACCGATGCTGCGTCATTTAGCGTTTAAATAGAGAATTTTCCGCTTGGTAGTTATAGAACTTGGATGCTTCTATTTATGCATGTTCACTAGATATCATACTTGCACTCAATGCACGAGCGTCTTGAAGACGAAAACGCGACAGCGTTCTATTACATTGCGGCGTTGTTACTGTTTTTTGGTTTATTTACTAATACAACACTAATGATAAATTTACTTGAACGAACCTTTTTCCGCATCTGGTTGCCCTGGTTGCCTTCTACTCGAGCGGCTTTCGGTTCTGGGTTGTATTCCACCTACCCTGAGAATTAAATGCTAAGTAACCAGATGTCAGGTCGGAGGCCGGACAAGTCATGCGTTTCTGTGTAAGCCATTGGACTAGACGCTTATGCTCGGTTTCACGGACATCAAGCGAATACCAGACGGAAGAAACATTTCAGACGCATCTGCATTGGAGAGCTTCCATTCTGCTGTCTAGTAGAGGCATGGGAGTATGGACATTGAAGGGAGTCTCGAGAGCAGGATTATGAAAAATATGGACTTTGTGGTCCCGGTAGCAACGTGACGCAGTGGTGCCCAAACCTCAAGAAACTGCCTTGTGCAGGTTGCACTGTGATGCGTTTCAGCTTTGATATACTGCCAGCGGATCTTTCAATCTCGACCGCTGTCTTACCTTGGTGAGAGGGTTTAGGTGATTAGGCTCAAGTTCTTCTTATTCTTCTTCTCTTTTCTTTCTTCTTCTTCTCTCTTATTCTTTCTTTCTTTCTTTCTTTTTCTTCTTTTTCTTCTTTTTTATTCTTCTTCTTTTCTTTTTTCTTTTTTCTTCATTCTTTGTTCTTTCCTTCTCTTTTTTCTTTTCTTTCCTTGTTTTTTCTTACTTCTTTTTCTTCTTTGTTCTTTTTTTTTCTGTTCTTTCTTCTTCTTTTCTTCTTTTTTGTTCTTCTTTTCTCTTCTTCTTCTTCTTCTTCTTCTTCTTCTTCTTCTTCTTCTTCTTCTTCTTTTTCTTTTTCTTCTTCTTCTTCTTCTTCTTCTTCTTCTTCTTCTTCTTCTGTTCTTTCTCTTCTTTTTTGCTATTCGCTCACTATCGTGGGGTCTGCTCTATATGTTGCAAATCCATTTACAACAAATTAATTTGCCATGAGTTCCAACTAGACGGAGATGCCGCGCCTAACGATGAAGGGCAGTGTTCCACTGAAGTTGCCACTTCTCGACGAAGCCCAAAAGCAAGGGTATTGTTCCACTAATGTTGCCACTGCTCTCTTCATTATTGACGCCTGACCACCTACTTACAGGCATACCACCCTACGTCCGACCCGATTCCGCCACATAGCTTGACCCTGATCGATGATGCCATACTCGATTTTTGACATTATAGATTCCTCCGCATACGTTTGTGCGAAGATTTGGAGGGAAGATTACCCCCAAACTGTAGTTCTGTCTTACAATGCCCATTCTAAATTGCTCGAAAGAAAATCGTAAAGTCTCTTTCTTCTCTTCCTCCATTTTTTATGACACCAGAGTTCCCACTTTTTGTTGAACTTTTACAAACTCAGTTCGTCGAGCTTTCCACCATACTGCTTGGGTTTCTCAGAAAACGCTGTTCCTCAGGTTCTGATGGAAGTCTTCAAAGGGTTTAATTCGCGTTCAGTGCCCGTTAGTACTATGGGTAACAGGTGGAACAGGTTCCAGCGAAAGCCGTCAGTGAATCATCAAGCTAATATTGTATTGTAAAGTATGACGAAAGAACCAAAACCATGTTCGCCGGACGGTGACGATCAACTTGGTATTGATTTCCTTCAGTTTAGCGGTATTATGTTGTTGTCTGCGCTATTACCTTTATAAAAATCAAAAACCACTTGTCACCGTCACCTGATGCAGCGGATGGTCAGGTGCCAGACCGGATCAGAAAGTCCATGACTCTCATAATTGCCCTCACTTGAGGAGGAATACCAGTTTTTTAGAGTGCAACTGGCCTCTTCCGTAGTCCTTTCGTAGTTCTCCCAAGAGAATGGCAGCCAATCGTGTTTATAGTACCGGTCGGAGCGGGCACTATAAATTCTCACCATACAAACCAGAAGTTTGCCTGTCTAGTATGTCTATGCTGCATTTTGAAGGATCTATGCATCTATATTTCATTACGTAGCATAGGAAGTACAGCATCACCTTTTCTTCTCACGTTTCTTATAGGATTCTGAATCTTCGCATACATTTCTCCTTTTCTTCAGTTGAAGATGTTCAGTGGACCTAAACAATAAATGTGGCCATCAAATGTGTTTCTTATTCTGAGGGTTACTGGTGTACTTCACACTTGACGTCTCACATTTATTCAAATTGAATAACTCATTCCCCTTCCCCCGTTTAGGACATTTGACCAGCCAGGGACGCGAACGTCGGAACATGCATTTCTCGCCTACAACTTTTTCCTTATCCCTTAGAGTTAACAGTCAACTTGTCAGTTGAAAGTAGTTTGCGCTGATGGCTGATGTGAAAGATGCTTGTGTCAAGGTGGTCAAGTAAGGTGGTCAAGACGAAGGTTCGGCAAGAATTTTCTCAACGTTTGGTATTGTGATGTCCCTATTTTGTCTTACTCTCCCTTAAAATGGCAACATTCTCATTAAATCCTCTTTTTTGAATGGCTTACCGATATTTACTCATCGGAAACTGGAACATTGTTCTGTAATAGTGAAGGCAGGGGCGCTTTTTTGATAATGTCCGCATGTCATCTTAGATACTGCAGACGGAACTGTCAGGCGCGGACATTATCCTATATGTGTTTATGATACACAAGACATGAACTGAACTCAGAAAGGCCGATAATAATCTGAAATGGTTTCTTTTCGAGAGATTTCTAGCCGTTACTGATTGAAGAAAGGCGATAAGACTGTTGAATTCTCTACTTAAACGGTGACCAGTACAAATACTCAGGCATAGAGATTTTGAGTGGTAATTTTTGGGTCGACTCCTACCCAAGACTAGCACTAGAAGTTTTTTTCAATATTTTCGGTTTTCCTTCACGAGTACTTTTCAAAGTCTCCTCCTTTTGCAAGGCTCAAATGATGGACCTATCATAGAAAAGTATATTAAATCGTTTAAACTGTGAACAAAATTAAAAATGAAGGTCAGATAGAGGATAAGGGTGTGAGGTAATGGAGTCTAGTGGCGGTGCGGGTGGGGGGTGGGGGGGGGCGGGCAGATCGGGGGGTCCATGTTCTGATGGTGACTTTTAACTTTACCAAACGTCGATGGTTCACGGGATCGAACCTTGCAAAGAACCGCTCCTTAAAAGGTTCCCATTCCTGAAATCTGTTGACTGTTATCAAGGCAAAGGAAAATGGGACGGTCTAGGCTGACCGTGCTAGTCTGGGTACGGTGGTAGTTTCTAGTGGACTTGTCAATGTTGAACAATTTATTTGGCGCAGTTTAAGCTTGGAGGGGCTTGCTCCCATTGATCACTGCCGACGCCCGCTGTGGAGATCTGTACATTCCTGCAAAACTATGCAGTAGTGTAAGCTTCGCTTACGCTTGGTAAGTCTATAGGTCTTATCAAGGTGAGAAGTGTAATCAAACAGGAACTAGCAAAAGAAACTAACGAAAGTGCAAATTGATTTTCCCTCCCCCCCCCCCTCTTAGCCAAAACAGCGACATTTATTACTTTGAAGGTAGGGCTAAACAGAATCATTCCTGCCGTAGAGCAACTTGCCGACAGTATTGTTATATAACCACTGACTCCATCTCAGTTTTTTTAACTGCAAAAGTGATATAACTGTGCTCACGTTTCGCTCAGTATCGCTGAATCTGAACCAGTTTTCGCCTTTAGAAGTATTGTATTGGTCAAGACGAGATGTTCTTTGTGTGTTATTCTTCAGTCCACCCTTCAGGTTTCTATTCACTATTTTAAAGTTATTGATTTTTTCGAAGTCCTTGATTATTCTTAAATTGTCCTCTTTTTGTCTTGCTTCTGCTATATTACCTGTTGTAGCTGGCTCGTTTTGCTCACTTTTTGACTAAACGCGTAGTAGGTATAGAGGAATAAATAATCAAATAAATAGTCTCCTTGACTAGTTGTGATGAGAATCCAGTTCTCCCGCTATCGTTAAAAACTGAGTTATATCACCAAGGCTGCGTTCATACTTTGCGGCAGCGTCTACCAGCGTCCACTAGCGTTCCGAGCGTCCGGCAGCGTCAGCGACTAGGAAAGTATAGATATCGATCTAGCGTCTGCCAGCGTCCACCAGCGTGTCTCGAGTGCTAGGGAAGTATAGGTGTCGATTAGCGCCTGCCAGCGTCTACCAGCGTCTGCCAGCGTCCACCAGCGTCTGCCAGCGTCTCGAGTGCTAGGGAAGTATAGGTGTCGATTAGCGTCTGTCAGCGTCTACCAGCGTTCACCAGCGACCGGAACTAGGGAGGGGAACTAAGAGGGTAGCAAACAGATGGACCAGGGGTCGTGAAATTGCGGCCTCCACTCCGTACAACTACACTACATACATTAAATTGCACAATTCTGTGCTTTAGCAGTTGTGCAGTGCGGTTGCACACGCCGCAATTTCACGACGCCTAATCCAGCTGTTTACCACCCTCCTACTACCTACTCCCAGTCGCTGGTGAACGCTGGTGGACGCTGGTAGACGCTGGTGGACGCTGCCGCAAAACATGAATGCAGCCTGGGCGTTGGTCTTGCGGACCATGAAAATGAGAACTGTTGCCGATCATATTTCATTCCTACATAATATCTCGCTTGAGTGTTCGTCACCAAGGTGTTCGTATATAAAATCGAAATTCTGCCTTCTGTTCACGCCTTACGTACATTTTCACGTACATGTAGTTCAGAAATGGTAGTTGAAGTAGAAGACAGTGCCCAAAGCAATGCATCAAAAGCTATGGGGCAGTTCGAAGTGAAATGTGTGGAGAAGGATGCTCATAATGCAACTAGCAGTCTGATGGATGATTTGAGAAAAGAGTTTGCCAGTCTCTCATCTCTAACAGATTTCAATCGAACTGGGGCGCAGGTGAGATTTTTCAATAGCGCTTTTTTCAGTAGAACGTTGCACTGAGCCAACCAAACCAGTTTGGTCAGAACAGTCATTCTCGTACACTGTACACAGTGTGATCGAAAGGGTTACTAGTTATGAAAAGTGCGTTGGCACCGTTTCGTGAACTTTGACTGAACTTCGTTCCGCTACGTCCTACACCTTTCACACTTTCATCCAGGAGATAATATCATAAGGAGATAGCGCTGCCATTTACATACCACTCGTAGCCCCTGTGGTTGGTGTCAGTGGTTGGCGTTAGCTTCAAAGTAAACGTAGCAGGTGGCCTCGTGCTCAGAGAGCTTTCGTTGCATCTGAACCATTTGTGGTATGTTGTCGTCCGAATATAGAACAAGATGTACAGTCTTCTTCGACATCTGGCATAATCCCACAGAGTACCAGTTCAAATGCTCTGGCGCCTTACTCTGTTTTCAGGGCTTAGGGAGTGTATGTATGGTTCAACCATGAGGTGCGGCCTAATTGTTTGCTAACGCAGAAATTTTAATACTCTAAGGGCTGCTTTCGTTGATCTCTTCTGGCTAGCGACTGATTGCATTTCTGCTGGGCTTTCATGGGCCATCAAATTGGATTTGAAGTGTATGAGTTACCAAGGGCAATAAATTTGAAAGATCAACTTGAAACGCTCATCATGAGGATCCTTTGTCTTCTTGACCATGATCAGAGGCGCAAATTGCTGATTGGTCAAGGTCGCATCTCCTGTCGCATTGATACGCGAATCACAACAAATTGACAATCAAGATTAGCTGTACGACAAAAAAGCATCAGAAAAAGTAGCGCGTTGTGAGCTTATGGCTCAGACATCGTGGCTAGCCGCAATCGGATGTATCTACGCTTTGCAGCCCGCGTTATGCAGCAATATTGCCATCTCAGTGAAAAAAAAACAAACCAACCGCTGCAACAAAAACAATAAACCTTTTCAGGTTAAACCGTTGTTCGCTTCAAAGGAAAAAATAGTCTGCGAGATGACCGTCGGACCGGAACACATTCAATGCTAAGGTAAGATTCCTAGTTGATACTACCATTTTTGGTACCTCTGTTGAATTCGCTCTTTCCCAATTAGTTTTGACTCTTCCGAAAATAACAACAACACTACATTCAGGGCACATTACATGGAGGACAAACAGCTTCACTCACCGACATCGTCACCGCTCGAGCGCTCGGTCTCACTATCAGAGACCACCCACTAGCTTCTATTGAACTCTCAGTCAGGTAGCATTCATGGATTCTAAGAAAAAATTCAGAGTTCTTCCTCGCTGTTCACTGTTTTGACTTTCCTGAAGAAGGCAATCCCGCCTAAGACGAGCCAATAAAACTGACATACAAACTTCGCGTTGAGCCCGAAGTAAAACATCTTAATACTGACACAATGCCGAGGTTTATGGGGAGCCGTAAATGGAGACAACAAAGGTGCTATATTTAGTCACTCACGCAACCACTGTTATGGTATACGGGGGGAGAGGGGGGCAAAAAAAGTCACTTCGACCGAGTCACATATCAGCAAAGTTTTCGCAGCCCAGAGAGAAGACGTGGATACGAGTACCAGGGCGGAAGATACCCAAGATGTTCCTCGATAAGCAGGAGCTGGCTCTCGCCCATCACCTTCATGTACACCAAAATATGAGGTCATCTCCAGTCGCAGCCTGACTGGAGAAGACCTTTGGAATTCATGTCACCTCCAAACAGCTGCGAAACTTCTAGTATGGAGTCACCCATGGGTAGCTACCTGGAGACCAGTACTCTCAATCTGGAAGACCTCCAACATCGAGCAGCTCCGACAACGTCGCTACGGTCTAGGACATCATCTTCACGGCAGTCGCCAAGGCGCGGGTTGATGGTATGGACCGGACGCACCTGGAATGGAAAGACAATATTTTCTTCGTGGACCCCGGGCTGAAGCTGAGCGCTGGCGGTTACATCGACCAACTCGAGAAGAATATCCTCCTCACATGTCGTCGCCCGTACCTTCTTAGAAAACTTTGTACTGCTACAGCATTGGGTGCCACCACGTGAATCGAAGGGCGTTGGAGAAACTTCGCGCCTACCTGGAAAGGGGGCTGAGTACCTAAAGAAGATGGAATATCCAAGTAGGTCACCTGACCTGAATCCCCTCAATTACCCGGTTCGGGCGGAGTTCAATAGGGTGGTCTACGGTGGCGGAGAAATCGACTATCTCGCTGATCTCAGGGACCACATCGCGGTTGCGTGCCAGAATCTCTCGATGGCGCTCCTCCAGAAGGCTGTGGCGGAGTGTCATAATAGTATTTAATATGCTCTTTAATATGGTGGTAGAAATGTCCGATCAGAATTTATAAAGTGTAACTTATAGCGCCTCGAAAGTCAATGAAGCAAAGTGACTTTTTTTTTGGCCCCCCCTGTAGTAGGTACGTTGGGCGCCTTTCACGGGGGACATTTCTCACTTTCGTTGCTTCACTGTTTCCTGTTTACAAGTTTAACTCTTGTGAAGCTGGAGCAAGCTCGTCGTGCCATTGGTAAAACCTGTCACTCGAGAGAAGAGGCTGTCTAGGTAGTTTGACAGGTCGATGGGAAGTAGCAATGATGCAAAATGCCCCTCCCCGTCGCGCCGAACTGCGCCGTCCTCGAGATCACCGATCTTGATCAAAACACCAATTCGAGATGATACCGAGTGTTCTACGTAGGTAAAGGAGGGACAATAGACATTGAAGACACCTCTAGAGCCTCCATGTCAAAACGATGACGGGCCCAAAGGACATACGAGTACGACGCTTTCGAACCGGTCTGCCTCCCACACGTAGTCAAAAGAGCGTATTGTCCTACTTACCTTAGTCAATGTTGAAGTGTAACTTTCACAGAACAACTAATGACCTTTGATTTCAGCTATTTCCTGCCGGTGAAGCTTGGCGAAGTCGTAGAAATCACAGCTCTCGTGCTCAAACTCGGCCGAAACGTAGCGTTCACAGAAGCTGAATTTCGGCGAAAATCCGATGGGAAATTAACGGCTAAGGGACGGCATACTGTCGCAATCCTACCAAAACAACAGCCAACTGAAGGGATTAAAGTGGCGCAATTCTAGGATTGAATAGCGCAGTTGTTTGTTGATTGACTAATATTTTCTATTGGAAATACTTGCTAATAACGGCTTTTATATGTACACATAGTGACCATTTGAAAAACGTACGTTGTTGTGATAACAAAGTGATCTGCAAAGCAATGCCTGCCATGCAGCATTCGTGAAGTTGTTGGATGTTAATAAACATTTCATACTTTCATTCCTCGCATCCCAAAACTTCAACACGTCCCGGACCGCATGACACACATGGTTGTGTCATAGATGTGTTTCTGTGCGGGGTTTTATTTAATTCGTTTGACTCTTCTTCCATCTTCCATTAGTGTCAAAGCGCTTCTCGGTCTTTGAAGCTACTTACCTCATAAGCGATTGAAAATGAGGAAATTACTGGTGCGTTTCTGATGAAAAAATGATCCGAAGATGCGCGCAGTACGGCGGTCCGCAATGTGTTCAAGGACCTGTGGAAGAATTGCACCCCTACCTGGGTAAATACATATCATGTGGTTCACACAGTAACTTCCCTCTTCCAAACTGATTCAATACAGGCGGGGTACAGCATCGTGATTTGTGAAATGGTAGTGTAGGTACGACCCCCTCCCTCCTCCGAGAGAGGGTTTCAATACGACCTCTCCTTACCTAAATGAGGGTCTCGGTACGACTCTCCCCTTTCTCCAACACCTAAGTGCCATTCTACCGCATTTTCCAAGTCCACTTTTTCACCCAAAAATTTTCCATCGACAGGGGTGGGAGCGTACATAGCCAATGTGGAGCGAGAAAATTCCTTAATTTATCCCCAACTTATTACCACTTTTTCCGGAATTCAGCGAGAACTTTTCCCACTTTTTTCCAAAAATTTTGCTGTCTAGCGGGGAGGGGAGAGGTTAATAGTACACATGAAAAAGGCAAAACCACGCGAAAGGCAACAACCGAGAAAAATTTGTTCCCAACCACGCGAAATTCTCCCAAACGCACATACGACCTCTCTCTCTCCCAACGTCCAAATACGACCCCTTCCCCAGAGAAGGAGTTCGACCCCCTGTGATTCACACAACCATGTCGTACCCTTAATACAGGAACGCGTTCCAGCACATGCTAAGAGTGATGACGTGTCACTGACGCCACATGACTGGTTAAAGGCACGCCCCGCGTTCATTCGATTTCAGGTGCCTTCTTTGGACATGATAGCCCTCCCTGCAAGGATGGAGGATGTGATAATTCCCCAGCATAAAAATTCGTGTGGAGAACGACTGCTCGCGACGAAACCGCGGCCCCGTCCACTGACCGCGGCGCCGCCCAACTTTCATTTTTGATTGCTATCTGATGGTGCGATTGTTCCTCTAATGACTCTGCATTTCGAGTGGTGAGAGGGAGGTGATAAGGAGGATGAGCTGTCAACAGGTGAGAACTCGTCTGACCACGCCCTTTCTTCGCCTTATGCAGTACGAGCGCGGTTCAGCGTGGAGTTTCGTACGAGTTTTTCCTGCGTGTTTCTTCTGCTTTTTTTCTAGAATGCTGGATTACTTGTTACTTTGTCGTTAGGATCTGGACCGCACAATTGCTTATTTTTGAACCTGGGAAGCGCCTTTAACGACCTGTCTCTGGACTTCATTGACAGTCATACAGATACTCCGTTATTCATGTACTTAATGACACGTCACTTCCGAGCTCAGGCAACAGGCAGTGCTCCACTTGCACCCTGTGGCACAGTTTGACGACGGGGAGGGCATTTTGCACTTTCGCTACTTCCCATCGACGTGTCGACCTATCTAGGCAGCCTCTTCTCGAGTTGACAGGTTTTACCATGATGGCTAGATGAGCTTGCTCCAGCTTCACAAGAGTTCACAGGTTTCGCCAGAGCCTTGTAAACCGGAACTAGGGAAGCAATGATAGTACAAAATGCCCCCCGTCCTCAAACTGCGTCGCTCTCTGTTTTCTGGTTGACTGACTGATTTGTCCATGCTTCGTCCACAAGTTCATGTTAAAACTTTGTCTACAGAATCGGCGTGTTTGTGACAAAATACCAGCTATGAATTAATAATTCAGAATGTTTCTTCAGCCTCCCGAGATTTGTACAGATATTTTATTGGACTAACGTTTCGGCGAACATCGCCTTCTTCGGAGCCTGCAAGTCGAAACCTATCATCGAAACAATTCACTCAAGCACCATTTCTAATTACAGTACAGCTATGAATTGATTTGATTTGGTCCGTCCAGTTGGAGCATTGGCGAAAAGCAGGAAAAGTCAAAAAGAAGCAGGGGCGGAGTCGAAAAATCAAGTGAGTCGAAGACTATGCGGAAAAGTTGGGCTTGTAGTGACTAGCACAACCAGGGAAGTGTGGAAGGGTTGGGTATGGACATTCAACAGCTGCCGCATGGTCGACGACTAATACGACTTTGAACCAACTTTTTTCGCTTATTCTCAAGTTATTTGTCCGGCACAGGTGTAGCAGATAACAGCTGCTGAAAGTTATTTAGATGATGTCATTTAACACTGCAGTGGGATGACGTGCCACACAACACATTAATGACGAGAAAACCTGTATTGTATCACTATCAATGATGACTAAATTACGTCATTAACATCTTTCATGATGGCAGTGACAAGTGTTCTATCTCTCAAAGAAAAAAGGCTGTACATGTACATATGTATGTAGGTGTAACATTTTCGGTCCATGACAGCGTGAGAAAACGAGGCAGAAAGGGATCGATGCTAGAAGTGAGAGGGCTTCGAAGCGTACCCCGCTCAGCTATGGGTACGTGTATGCCTGGCAGTGCGGGTGGGGTTCAGAAACGGATCCAGGCATCATTACCCTCCATCGTTCCCGTGCACTTCTGAGCGAGGAAAGTGGTTGCTACAGTTGTGGTTGCTGCAGTTGCGGACCCATCAACCTCGCTCACTGCAAGTACTGTCGCCCGAGGGAAGTGTACAGCTTATTTTTGAGAGCTGCACACTGCCCTTTGGCGATATTTCGTTAATTTCCCCCCACTCCATTTCGGCTTTGGTCTAAAGCCAGCGTGATCTTCGTCTACCGTAGTATATCCGCTACCACCGTGTATGAGAAGAAAGACCGTTTACCGTCCCGAGGGTGCGGGCAAGCAAGCATGGTGTGGCACAGTGCCCGCAGTACCTTTCCGAACAAAGTTTCGGAGGTTCTCATGAGCATACCGGCACTCAGGGCATAAGGCTGCCTCAAATGTGAGACAAATCCCACCGACCTGTAAGTGTACTCGAAATTTCTATTAACGATATTTCCGCCATCAAGTGTAATGTGTAACAGGAAGCAGGTGCTCAGTCATGAACCATTAGCACATCGAAAGCTCACCATTGAAAAAAGCGAAAAAATGGAACACCCTAAACACAGACCCCCTAGCAGTGCGGCCAATGCCTGGACGAGCTGATCAAGAGGACAAGCCCAATCAGCAGGATTCCAGGTGCGACCAATTTCCGGCAACAGCATAAGAGATCGTCCTACGACGCTCCAGGCAACGCTGTGTGCACACGCAAGTCCGCTTGTAAGCCGTTGCCTTGCAATCCGCTTGTAAGCCGTTGCCTTGCAGTGTTACAGTACGCGGTTGCACCGGTTGCAAAACTCTCACGTTTCTAGCTTCTTTATCTCATCGTTTCGAGAGACGAAAGTGGTATAATCTCTGCCAATGCGGACAACGATGCCAGAGGCACGGAGGCATTACGCAGATCACTTGATCGCGGGAAGTGCAGGTATGCTCCCCCTCAAGTGCCTCCATAACCTTCTTCAGTAAGGCTCACAGCAGATATGGAAGACAGGTATCATTATCCAAACACACTTTAGCTGCACGTATGTCATTGAGCAATCACTTGGATATACCATTCCTCCTCTTGATCAGTCTGTGTTGCATGCTAAGTGCTCACACAAACTGTAACTCCTCCATCTTCTTCGTCACATGTTGTTTCCGGCAATGGTGTGCACTACCAGAATGAAGTCAAAATAACCTAGGTTCTAGATGCGCCGTACAGGCTCAAGCAACAGATAATGACGACCGAATCGACCTGAATCCGAACTTAGACTGCGTGAACTGTGATGAACAAACATCGTGCATCTGGGCCTCCTTTATCGACCTCCATCTCGGCTTTATACAACTGTAGACCACCTTTGAATTAACGAACGTTTATTCAGAAACGCTCAAGGTGATTTGTACACAAACGTCGTCAATATCTTAGATTCTACGACTGAATGGCTTGCAGCTCAGCCGGGAGCGGTACTTTCGGATGGCGACTTTCGAAATGCTGCTTGTAGGTTTTTGGATCGGGCATCTGTGCCATGCACACTGTGCATTTGTGGTGTAACGCCTTTTGAGCTGCACCGCGCTGATCGCATCCCTGTGCCTTTTTCAACGCCTCAGCCTGAAACTCAACACATTGTTGGAGAACTGGCAATATCAATAATCTCGAATCACCTTCTTTTGGGCTTTTTGTTGAGATTGAATCTTTTGATGACCGCGCGCCATCGCAAGAGTAGCTAGAAATGGTCTCACTTTGTGAACATGATCTGCCTTGATATACTTTGCGTTGACTGACATATCATGTATTAGTGAGAGTAGACCGGTTGTACTTGTATTGGAATGACATGCTGTACAAGAGACAATTTCTGTACCAAGACAGTCGGACATGGCCGATAAACGACTCCTCAGAACAAAACTAGCTGTGCTGGGATTTACTCCTTACCTTACTTATGGTTATTGCGGTTCTGAAACGAAGAGAAATGTACCTGTGCGACGTATAAAATAGCTTGCTAGTATTCACCTCTCGGTAGTGATTTTACCATATCCACTGACCGAGACTCACCCAACCTTAACCTTGCTTCGCCTGAGTAGAAGCTGATCTTCGCAGGGTAAAAAAGTTCTACTCAATTAGCTGCCCTCACGACTACATAGCCATGAACCTCCAAAAGGTAGGGCGTGTGAAGTGGTGTGAATTGAATTGCACCATAGCAGCCTTTCTCTCCTATTGTTGTCTACTAATAGTTAGGTCAGCTCCACTGGTGGATAATAGGAGCGCTACAATCAACGTCTTGTATAGACCATGTCGTAAGTTAGATCCCCAGCAGTGGGATCGTAATTGGTTTGAGGAAATTTTTTAATTCGAATTTTCTTGTTTCACGGACGCTATAAGAGGGTGGGTCATACGCTATAGGGGGGGGAGGGGTTGATCGTATTTGCTCGTTGTTGGGGATGGGAGTCCTCATAGCTGCCTTCTGAAATTTGGATTTGCAGGGTCGAGAGATATTTTCCCGGGGTATGTGACAAGAGAATCGTAATTCACCGCGCTGGTGGGCGTCGCGTGCGACGTCGCGCCCGCAAATGACGATGGTTCCAGGTAGTAGATGGCGACAACAGGCAATTCAGAACCGAAAATAGTCATGAATATCTACGATGACGGGGTTACATGAACATGAAGTCCGGTGCTCCAATCGACAGGCGGCAAATTATTAGGTTGTCCGGAAAGTTCTCAGCGTTTTGAGTGTTTCACTTTAAACGATCATAACTTTCTTAATACTCATCGGATTTAATCGAAATAAGCACCATTCGAATCAGCACACTTTTGCCAATGTGACAGCAGTCGAGAAATCCCATCAAAGAAAAAACTGGGTGGTCGACGAAATCCACGAAGGCTTTTTTGCCTGGTCCTGATTGATGAAGTATTTTCCAGCAAGGGAGTTCTGAAAATGTTTGAAAAGGTGATAGTCGGTTGGTGAAAGGTCTGAAGAATATGGCGGGTGAGGTAGAACTTCAACCCCCAATTCGTTCAATTTATGGATAGTGATTTGTGAAACGTGTGGGCGGGCGTTGTCATGCAGAAGAATCGGACCCTTTCTGTTGACAAGTGCTGGCTGCAGCTGACGCAATTTTCGGTAAATTTCGTCGATTTCTTCACAGTAGGGTT